CATGTTTCGTAGTATTTCATTGGCTTCCGGTAGATATTTAAATATAAATTTTTCAATGTTCGAGTACATCCGATTATTTTTTAGGTATGATCAAAGATTTTTGCTTGTTTTTTTTTTGTTTGTTTCTTTTTTCTATGTCACATTCTTTGCTTTCAGCGGTCACGTGTCAACGTGGTCACGTGACTGTTGGTGTCGTTGTTTTTTTTAACATATTTGTTTGTTCTTAAAAACGCAAAGGAAAACCAAACAAAAAAATATATATCTTTCCTTAACAAAATCACTCGTCTCTTCCTTGTTAATTATTTTGCGTAAAAGTTTATTGCAGAATAATATTCTGACGATGATAAACGAAATAAACGTTAAAATATTACAGTTCCAACAATTGCTAGATGCGACCGTAAGTTCTATGTTAACAGTTTCTTCTAACGCCTCCAAAATTAAACTCCCCTCCATTAATCATCTGAGAGATTCCTCTCTAACTTCCATCTGAATGGCTGATGCTAACCTCCATGAAAGTGACACGTTACGGCTTTTCGGGGTCACGTTGTCTGCTGACATGAAAAGGAAAGACGATATTGAATTCATTGCTAGGCCAGCTGCTAAGAAAGTCGGTTCACCCTGTCGGCCGAGACAATTTTCCTCTCCAGAATCGATCTTACAATATATAATTATATATATTATCTTATATAAGTCTACCATTCGTCCATGTTTAGAATAGTGATGCCACATATGGTCCGTTGTCCCTACGATTTATCTTGAGATCCTTGATAAGAACCATAGAAGAATCAGCAATATTATTGGTCCTGATCTGGCAGCTCGACTTCAGTTATTTCCCGCCGCCGTAAGGTTACCTCTCTGTGTCTTTTCTATAAATACAATCATGGTAATTGTTTGGATGAAATCTTGGAACTCAGACTTATTGAATTTAAGTGCAGCACTAGACTGGCAACGAGATCTCATCAATTTAAAGTTGAGCAAGCTAGATGTAACTGTAAATTCTATGCTCTAGTCTCTTTTCTCGCTTGTGGAACTCCCTTCCAGCTCCATGCTTTCCAGCCAACTTTAATCTGCAAAAATGAAAAAGCAATGTCAATCGCTATCTACTGTCCTCCTGATTACTCTTTTCTCTTTCTGTTCATCATTAATGTTTCTGTTCCTAATTTTTCCACACCCTGTAACTCCTTGTGTTTTAGTGAGATTAGTGTCTTGCTTGGGATGATAAAGATTTTTTCCTAAAAAAATTAAAAAGAAAAATCATTTGTGGAACTCTCATCCGGCTTCTTGTTTTCCAGTCAACTTTGATCTTCAAAAATCCAAAGTCAATCTTTATCTTCAGTCTTCTTAGTGTCTGTTCTTTTATTGTCCTCTCTCCTTAATATTTTTTTTTTATTTTCTCATATTCTTTCACATTTTGCGTTTTAGTGGCTTTATTGCCTTGTTTGGGGTGAAATGATAAAAGATATTACAAAATCACCCTTGTTTGTTTTCTTCATTATTTAGTATAAAATCCAGTGCAGAATTTACACAATGTGCTGACGATGATATAAATAAAAGCGAAAGGCTGGCAAAATCATTCTTGTCTTGTTTTCGCATTACTTAGCATAAAATCCAATGCATATGTTATATAATAATTGAGCACCTCGAGGCGGTGTAATGGTGAGAAAGCTTGTCAAGAAGAAAGGTTAAGCATAAACTACAAGAAGACAGAATGCATAGCCATCAGTAAGAGAATGAGCCTGAAATGCGATTTGAAAGTGGGGAATACTAGAATCAAGCAGATGCGGAAGCTTAAATATCTGGGAAGCGTCTTGACAGAAGACGGTAAGTGCGACATTGAAGTTCGTAGACGCATTGGGATGGCCAAAGAACACATTCCAAAAGCTTGGCAGAGTATTGCGAGACAGGAGGATTTCTTTGGTAACAAAGAAAAGAATACTGAACTGTTACGTGACATCTTTCCTTCTTTAAGGCAGCGAATGTTGGACGATTCCCTCAAAGATGAAGAAGAGACTCGAGGCGACAGAGATGTGGTCCTACAGAAGGATGCTAAGGATAGCATGGACTGAGCGTGTGAGCAACGATGAGGTCTTAGAGAGGTTGTAAATAAGGAGGAGGCTTATACTTAATATCAGGAAGAGACAGCTGAAGTTTCTGGGACACATAACGAGGAAGGAAGGCCTGGAGAATCTGATACTCACGGGTCGAATAGAGAGAAAGAGAGACAAGTGAAAACAACGCGTGACATACCTGGCGGACTTAAGCAAGTGGATGACAGAACGTGGTCTGGGGTGGAAGCAGAGGGAAGGGACTGCAGGGGATAGAAGGAGGTGGAGAGCCATGATCGCCTACGTTCTGAAAGGACGTGGCACATAAAAAGTAAAAAGAAAGAGAGTTCGATCCTCACTGGGTGACTCCTAATTTCTGCCTTGTGCCACATCTAAGCTACGCTTGGAAAATCACTTTGCCGCATCTAAACTACACTTAGAAAATCACCATATGTTATATAATAATGTTCTAACGATGATATAAGTTGACATCGAAATATTCTCTAAACTCAATATAACTTGTTTACAGATGAAACATTAACTAAAAGCTCATTTTCGGGTTTGTTTGGGTTTTTTTACTACATAAAATTCTGTTTATGCCGTTGTCGATTTAAAGTTTTCAAATGCATACGCATTGAAGTCTTGTTAAAAATAGTGTATGAATTATTTTTATTTTCTTACAGTTGAAGTGGTGAAACGCTTGATGTAATAAAAACAAAATATTCGATCCATTGTGAAATATCAGAGCTCACAGATCGAAATGTTGTGGCCTTGATGCTGGCTGACGTGGCGGGTAAAGAAAAAAAATAAGAAACGTCGCGAAGACCCAATTATTCTGCAAATAATTACGTTGCGTAAAGGCAGAAGGGGAATTACAAGAAGTGATTGTCTTCGATCGATAGAGAGGAATTTCGATGAGGAAGATAACAATAGAGAAATAGATAAACAAGATATATATATATATATATATATAGATAGATAGATAGATAGATAGATAGATAGATAGATAGATAGATAATGTATGAACATAAAGAATGAACATAGGTAGATGATGTATGAATATAAATAATGTATGAACAAAGATAATATTGAACATAGATAATGTATTAACATAGATAGATAGATAGATAGATAGGTAGATAGATAGATAGATGATTTATGAACATAGATAAACCGATAAATGTATGAATATAGATAATGTATGAACAAAGATAGATAGATAATATATGAACCTAGATAGATAGATGATATATGAACATAATGTATCAACAAAGATAGATAGATAGATAATGTATAACACAGATAGATAATGTATGAACATAAATAGTGTATGAACAAAGATAGACAGATAATGTATGAAAATAGATACTTAGATAGATTGATATGATTTATGAACATAGACATAGAATTTATGAACAGTTATAGATAGATAGATAGATAGATAGATAGATAGATAGATAGATAGATGTAATAATAATAATAATTTCACCCAAGCAAGAGGTTACTGGGAATGAAAGTGAAAAAGAAGACTGAAAATTTGGAAGATTGAGGAAAGACAGAAGATGCAATAAGACACACACACACGCATATATATATATATATATATATATATATATATATATATATATATATATATATATATATTTTTAATCGCGTCACGGAAAAAAAATATCTTTAAATATAAATATTATAATATTATGCTCTGCTTAAAGTCGATTCCTTTAAAAAAAACTGTGGATTATTAACCTTACTGTTCTTTCTCTTTATTTTATATATATATATATATATATATATATATATATATATATATATATATATATATATATATATTGGTGGGAAATCCCTCCTTTTACATGTTATATTAATCAAGACTGACAAGGCAATTTTGTTTAGTTTTTTTCTTATATGTAGACGACTGTTCCCTTTTCTGAACTTAATGAATGTAAAAGTTGTCCAAAGGTTTGTTGGTTCAGATTTTTCGGCTAATCTATTAACTATTGTTCAAGGATTCTAGATACAAATGGAGTCTTATTGCTATTGTGGACAGCATAAATGTTGCAGAAGTAGACATGCTTAATTTCGGAATACGGCCAGTACATTGTGGGCATGCACACCAGTGATGTGTGTCTACATCAATACTATTAAGGATTAGCTTGTTTGTTTTTTATAAGGTTAATACAAACCATCCCCAAAATATAATAAAACTAAACAAAAATACATTGAAAGTCTATGGGTTAGGGATATTTTCAACAGCACCAGGTTATATATATATATATATATATATATATATATATATGTATATATAGTGTATGTATGTATGTATATATGTATGTATATATATATGTATGTATATATACTTTAAAAATCAGAAGGTCAGTTGCATTCGCTACCTTGGTTTCAATATTAAGGTATCATCAGGCGATTTTTATCAAACGACCTCTTAACGCTTTATTTAAAAAAAAAAACTTATGAACGCTATAATATTAAAAAAAAAATAAATAGACAAATGCACGACGTTGGGTGTAATGGAAAGGGAGGTGGAAGAGAAGAAGAAGAAGAAGAAGAAGAAGAAGAAGAAGAAGAAGAAGAAGAAGAAGAGGGAAGAGAGAAAAAAGTAAGGGCATTATCAATGTATGGATGGGGTGTAATTAAAATTACATTTTTTTATCCAGCCTCATCTGTGCTTAAGAGGAATTTCCTAATATGCAAGCAAATACTCAAGACTCCGGACTCAAGACAAAATTTTTAAAGATGCATTAACCTACTAATCACTCAGTGAATGTTATGATACTTAATTTTTTAAAATTATAAGCTGCTTTAGGTCTTTCCTAAATACGCAAGTACTTTCGACTGTACATTCAGTCATTTTCAGGCATGGAAATTATTTTGTTTTTGGTAAAATTCAGGTAGAACCCGAGACGAAAAAATATAATACGAATCAAAATATGTTTTTTTGAAATGTGTTATTGATAACGGATACAAACTTTTGGCGCGTGCAATCGCAACGCTAAGGTTGAATTTTTTTTTGAAAATTTAATAGAGTGCGTTTTTTTACTAATATGCCAATTTGTGAATTTTTTTGTGGTAGGAGTTTATCAGTCAATGTGGCATGAACTAAATTGTTCAATAAATAGAGTAATGTCTCGGTGGTTATCCCGAAAATTTGCGCATTGGATCAGTTTATTTTAAATCAAATATGTGGTGAATTTTATATCATTAACTTTACTAATTTACTTTTTGTATGAATGATCCATTTATATATATATATATATATATATATATATATATATATATATATATATAGGATCACCAGTTACACACACCACACACACAGAGGCAAAGTAAAATCTTTGGTCTGAAGAGATGAATATTTAAATATATTAATGAAATAAATTATAACTGAAATTGATTTTTAAGGATTGACTTTATTTATTATTATTATTATTATTATTATTATTATTATTGCTTTGATCGCTTTTGCGATTCTCAGACAAAGTTTGTCCGATGATCTCAAAAGCAAATTCATATCCACACAACTGAATATATATATATATATATATATATATGTTGTTGTGTGTGTGTGTGTGTGTGTGTGTGTGTGTGTGTGTGTGTGTGTGTGTGTGTGTGTGGTGCTGCTTCAAATATCCCTATTTCACAGACTTCACGAAAATTTGCTAAATGACCAAACATAAAAATTTAGGTGGGGACTGATATTTTTTTGGTTAGACTGATAATTTATTCCCTTTCTCTTGAATATATATATATATATATATATATATATATATATATATATATATATATAGACTAAAATGAGAATTGTAAAAAAAAAGGCACCTAATATTTAATATAGTGATATTTATTTATAATATAAAATTTTTACATAGAAGAATTAAAAATGCTCCATGATTTTAATTTTTTTTCATTTGTTCAAAACATATGCATCAACACGTGGAGATAGAAACAGTTAAAAATTTTAAAAAAAACTAAGTGGAACCGGTTAAAGTAAAAAAAAAGTATAAAAAAAAAGGAACAACGGATTATTTTTCTAAGAGAAAAACATTGAAAATCCAATTGTAAATAACAAAGTTTTAATTCTCCTCTGTAAAAAACATCATATATTATAAATAAATATAACTATATTAAATATTAGGTGGCTTCTCTTTTTAGTCTATACAATAAGTTTTTGTACACTATCTTTCTAACAATTTTTTTTGCTGATATATATATATATATATGTGTGTGTGTGTGTGTGTGTGTGTGTGTGTGTGTGTGTGTGTGTGTGTACCAAAAACTTCTGTAAACTGAGCTGAAAGATTGAGAGATAGCTAGTGTGTGTATTTCTGTCAAAACGTAGGAAATGTCAAAGAGTCTAACTGAATAGGCAGAAAGGTCATGCTCTCTAAACGCGAATCACGGAGAAGTAAAGAGAAGCGAAAGAAGAAATGGGTTTTAGCTTTCGCATCGTCAACAATGACAATTGGTGTAATGGTGCCACTGATTATCGATTAGCTGCTCGTGGAGAATCCCGCGCGAACGTCAATTCACTGTTAGTGGTTTTCCAACACTGATACACTGGATCGCCATCGATGGGTTTTGCCGTATGGTATTTACGTCATTTGTATCCCACCACACGCAGCAACCACCCAGAAACGAGATCTGTCTTTATTAGGCAATATAACCGAAAACCATTCTGCATGATAGATAGATAGATAGATAGATAGAGAGAGAGAGAGAGAGAGAGAGAGATATGAAGAGAGCGTGATAGATAAAAGGATATGAACAGGCCGAGATAGATAGATAGATAGATAGATAGATACTTATGAACAGTATGTGATTGATACATAGATAATGATATGTGATAGAGAAAGAGAGAGAGAGAAGACTAGTCTAAGATAGATTTTCCCTCTCCCTCTTTGTCTTTCTGCCTTTCTGTCTGTCTGTCTGTCTCTCTGTCTGTCTGTCTCATCTCTCTCTATATATATATATATATATATATATATATATATATATATATCTGAAAACGACTCTCTCTCTCTCTCTATTTATATATATATATATATATATATATATATATATATATATATATGAAAAATAGGTAACGTTGGGTAAATCTAAAACCTCAAACGATATGTTTAATACGGCCCGTCAAATTTTCTCTTCATTTTTTGTTGGAAATAAAGTTCGATGATCTCAGTCCTCTCTAATTTATTATATATAGTGGTCTCTTTTTATATATATATATATATATATATATATATATATATATATATATTTTATTATGTTTAACGTTGTTATTTTATAGATACAAGTAAAAACTAGGTAATAGCGTATATGTATGGGTTCGAAATCTGTCAAAAACGAATATTTTCTATGAAAATTTCGGACATTCACGGTAAATGTTATTTTCGTTAATTTACATGTATTTAAACATAATAAAATGGCCCGTGACAAAATTTTCTCTTAATGACATTTTTAGGATAGAAATATTTATTTAAGTTCATATATTTTTTGACTTTGGAAACTTTTGAAAAGTGGATGTCAGGATCTAAAACATAATGTCTATAGATTTAAAAGGACACAAAAAACATATATTAGATTAATACAAAATAATTTATTTTATATGCAAACAAAATGGAACCTTCATCAGTCTTTCAACTGTTTGTGGTAACATCTTCACAGAAATTTTATTTAATATATATATATATATATATATATATATATATATATATATATATATATATATATTAAAAAAATGTCTTACAAAAAAAGACATTTTATTATGTATTATAAACGCAGTGTAACGAATGCAATTTTATTTTTATAGATACAAGACTTTGCATTTCACAACTCCCATCCATTTAAGATTTTTTCAAATAGTTTGTGGCCATGTTTATTGATAAACAGCTGGCTAAAGGAAACATTTACAACAGGCTGACACGAATGAATGCATGCTAGCAGCAAAAATTTGCATAGTCACAAGTGGGAAAAATAAATCTGTTCACTTTTCCAATTGGCTCATTCACTTGCTTAAACTCAACGTTGATTCTGATTCCGCAGAACTGAGTTACGTGAAAAATTTGTTGTTCAACATTTTTTTCATTCGGCTTTTCCAGTTACTAGTCCTTTTTTAAACTGATCGTTTTGTGTTCATTTTGTTTAGTTCTTTATGACGGTTCAGTGTGAGATAGGCGTAGCATCAGCACGGAAAAGGGCACTCTTTAAAAAAGGCAAGGAAAGGCAAAAAATATTTTAGTCAAAGTTTTGAGTTGGTCATTCCATTACCATTTGGTTTTTGTAGTCAAAACTGTTTTTTCTATATGATAAAAATATAATATATATATATATATATATATATATATATATATTTGGCAAATTGTAAAAAATGAAAATTCTGATCTCTGAATATAGTCTTTTAGATATGAATTATTTTATTTTTAATCATGCTTTTATTATTGAAAAAACTATTGGATTATTCATTTAATTTGGTTTCTTAAAAGTTTTCTAGCAAAAATTTTAGCAAATTCATTCCAATCAATATCTATTTCATTTGCAAAATATTAAGAATAATGAAATGAATTTAGTCGATTGTAAACGTCATGCTAACTGAAAAAACGTCTTGTTCACGCAGTAGAATAATAATAATTTATCGTGAAACGTCATCAACTTTATTTTATTATATTACGGCGTCCTTGATATTCTCTAATCTTCATCATCTTGAACAACCCTGCAGGGCCTATCCCTGGTCAGGACAAACCACAGGAAAATGTCTTCCGACTTGAAGACTCCCAATGATCATTGGTCACACAACCGTAGATTCAATCGGGTAGGGGGAATCTTCCCCCCTTGGTGTTAATTTTGTCTTGGAAACACCTTCTGTTGCCATGTCGTCATGGCAGTTGCGACATACTTAGTGATGAGGCCCATTGTTTTTTGTTTTGTTTTTTTTTACTTGTTCGGGTCAGCCTTTAATTATTCAGATTTGTATTGTCCACAAATTTCTTGATTATCGAATCGACGCAACGTTAAATGCTGCCGAATCTCCTCCTCCTCCGCGCAGATGATTTTTTAAAACTTACACTAATGCACAGATGCGAAAGAATTAATCAGCAGATGAAAAATTGAAATAAAATAAACCCACAATATCTTTTCTTTCTTTCAAATTTTACTTTTAACTTCTTCCTAGTATCGCTGAGTTTTAGTATCAGTGTAACTGCCAGTTTATGTATTAAATATCTCTTGATCAATCGATCTATCGTCAGATCGATTTATCTACTAAAGTATCTCTGTTTTAGTGTCAAATTCAAGTATCAATTTAAACACCTATTAAAGTATTACATGTCTATCGACCAATCGATCTATTTAAATATCTCTCTTTTTCGTGTAAATTTGACTGATTTTAATGCCTTCAAAGCGAAAAACTTCTCTTTTAATAATCTGTGACATTTTAACCATGGCTGATGCTAACCTCCAGGAGAGTGATTCATTGCACCTTCTTGAACTAACGTCTTCAGATGACATGAAGTGGAAAAATTATATTGAATCAATTATTAGGTCTATCAACACCTTATAGGACATTTTAATGTCGAAATTTAATTTTCTTGGAAGCTTTGATTAGATTTGTTTGTTTAACGGCATATCAACTTCTTATGGGTCATTTAATGACAAAATTTAATTTTCTTGGGAGCTTTAATTTGATTTGCTTGTTTAAAGGCATATCAACTCCTTATGGGTCATTTAATACTCAAATTTAATTTTCTTGGGAGCTTTGATTTCATTTGCTTGTTAAACGGTATATCTAATTTTACTCAAGCGGTATCGAAGATTTGCCTGATAAGCGACAACAAGTCATTACAAATAATTCTGTTGCTCTACATCTAAAATAACTTTTTAGAATTAGTATGATTCAGGGATTGAAAATTTGCCTTTCATCTGGTATTTGGACAGCATTGGAATTTGTGTCCAGATGACGAAGGACCAGTTAAAAATTCAAATTTTAAAATAACTGAAAAAAAATAGTGATTTCTAAAGTTTGTAATTCATACTGAGTTTAACCCATTACCTGCCATGAGCTCCATTTGGGGATCTGTTAAAATGAAACTTACTACACGTTATTCCTTGTATTTATATTGAATTGCTTACATACATTGCACTTGCAGAGGTATATTTTACAACACAGCCTTTAAAGTTTTCATTATTAGCCGTAAGAAGACACTTTCTGTCGTAATTTTACATTTCACGAGTAGAAAAATAATAACTTTTGTGAAAGGTTTTTTTTTATTATTTCTAATCAATATTATTTTTTGATGTTTTATACACATATATATTTGATGTTCTAGTTTCTATAAAAATGACAATGGTAACTACTGAAATTAAACATAAGGAATAAATAAACTCCTAAGACTGGACCAAACATGCACATTAAAAAAAATTGGCAGTTAATGGGTTAAAATAATGCAAAACCTTTGTGATTTTTTTTTTAAATTCTGTTTAAAATATCTCCAAAATTTTGTGAATTGGGGAAATTTATTGTTTCTTCAAAATACCAGAGAATCAGAGTTAAATTGAGAGGTTTCATGACGTCAGGTTTTGAAGTTACGCAGAGTTTTAAGAATTCAACTCAACTGAACTTCCACGGAATTTGTGATTTAAAGAACTAAATTTTCGACCAGAATTGGAATTTCTGCCCAAATCGGAGTTTCGAACCAAATCGGACTTTCGGCCCGAATCGATCTTTTTGGCAGGAAATTCGACTTATAGTCCAAATGAGCCTTTAAGTGAGATTTTGAAGTTCCATAATGTGAATTGAGGAATTCAAAGTTAATATCAAGAGCATCTGAAACATCAGAAGAGGTACAAGCCATGAGACAAGCAGATGTTGCAAAACATAGAACATCAAGAGCATGTGAAACCTCACGAGCCAAGAGAGAAGATTATGCAGCAAAGAGGAGATGGTCAAAAGCTGCGGTTAACAGTGAAACTTTAGCAAGGAAAGAAGCAGATACGGCAATGAAGAGAAAATCAAGAACTGCAGAGGATGACAGTCAGACTTTATCAAGGAGAGAAACAGATACTGCAAACCATAGAAGATCTTTAGGAACACCTGTTAAAAGACATACTAGTCAGGTCAGTGATAATCACAACAAAGAGCAGCCCTCTTTTTTGAGCTTGTCCAAGCTGGCTTTTCAATAAAATTGTGACGGTGACTGTTCCAATCACCCAAAGATATCTACCAGTTCCCCCAGAGCCATTGCTATCACTTCTGGATGGGAACTCAGCTGAATCTAAACAGTTCATCCAGCATATCCAAAGCTACAATAGCGATTTTCAAGCGTAGCTTAGATGTGGCACAAGGCCGAAAGTATGGAGCACCCAGTGAGGATCGAACTCACTACTCAGTCGTAATTGTGTTAGCGAGACAAGCTTGCTAACCATTACATTGCCTCGGGGTGCCCCAGAACATCAAAAGCTGCAATAACTGCCTTGGAATGGCTTCAGAGATACTAGCTTGTCAGGATGAAAAACAATTTGCAGAATTCCGGTCAGGAGCGAGTTGAACTGTCCACACGGAATGCGGCTTTTAATTTGGTAATTGAACAAAATGGAATTGGACATTTTTTAAAGAATAAAGTTGATTAAGAAATACGGAAATTATTTATGACTCAACCTCATGTTTCTGTCTATATTTCTGAGATGAGGTATGTACACTATTTACATTGTTCGGATTATCATATAACATCAGGACAACCTTCAAAAGCTGGATGACACTTCGCAGATACCTATCCTGAGTAAGAAAACATGACTAAAGATTCTGTATACGCCATCCCGTGCAGTTGTGGAAAGAAA